ATTTCTTATGCATACATCAGTCAGATGCCATAGCAATTTATACTCAGAGGTTGCCACCAAGAATATTTATCTTATGATTATGTTTTAATCTTAAAATTATTTAATCCTGCTGTAATTCTCACTTAATAAACAGACTATGGGCTTCAACTCTTTGAGCCATTACTGTTGGTTTTATACCATTTTTCTGCCTTGAATTACCTTTCTTGAAAATAATTTTACAGTTTTGCATATTTATTTTAGTTTGTGACTAAACAGGAAGGTTATGTCAACTGGTCCATGCCCAGGAAAAGCAATGTGCAGCATCAGTGAAAATGGTGCTAAAGTAGAAAGGTGGGCTTCATTAAACCTTCGGGTTCATGTGGAATCTCTGTCAAGTTTAAATATTTATAATTAATGACTTTTTAGTGTATTGAATATCCTAAAACTACTACTTTTATTATTATTTATTTTTTTTTTTTTTTGGTTTTTTTGAGACAGGGTCTCCCTGTAGCCCCAGCTGGCCTGGAACTCATTATGTAGACCAGGCTGGCCTTGAACTCAAAGAGCTCTGCCTGCCCCTGCCTCCCAAGTGCTGGGACTAAAGGCATGTACCACCATGCCTGGCTAAAAATAATATTTTTCAAAAAAGAAATGGTTCTCAGCCGGGCGTGGTGGCATACGCCTTTAGTACCACCACTCGGGAGGCAGAGGCAGGCAGATCGTTGTGAGTTCAAGGCCAGCCTGGTCTAAATAGTGAGTTCAGGTCAGCTGGGACTGCAGGGAGACCCTGTCTCAAAAAACACACACACACACAAAAAAAAAGGTTCTCTCTAGAATTATACTCATGGGAAAGGCAATTTGGAATTATTCTTTTATCTTACTGAATTTCATGCCTTTCAATTTTTAGACAAATATGACTTATTTTCTCTCATGCAGAATTTAAGAGAGAGAGAGAGAGGATGTGATGTGATATGAAAACAGGGGACTATGTAAAGGGGGAAGGGAATGGCAGAAGAACAGGGGTGAATATAAGCAAAGTTCATTGATGCACATGTGTGAAAATAATGCAGTGAGAAAAGTCTTCAAAATAGGCTTTTGTACTACTACTGAAATAATTGTTCTTAGGAGTGAAGAACTAAAATATGAAGGAAAATAACGTATAATCCACACATAGTATCTTAATCAACGTATAGAAGGAACGCAGGATTCTATGTAGTTTCTGCTAACACAACTCACAGAACCACACACACTGTGTTCATGATTTCCCAAGCAGTTGTCTGAAGTGTGCAGTTGAGGCATGAAAACCAAAAATGATCCTTGTATCTTCCCCTCTTTTTACTTCATATTCAGCATCAAATTATAGCCATCCCTATGAAAGAATTGTAGTTATAACTAGTCACCTCAGTAACAGTGCACAACTCTGTCTTGAAAGGAATTTATACACATCGTGCCTACCCAGAGATTTTTGCAGGCAAAGTCACAGTCACCCTGCTGGTAACTATCTATCCAAGTACTAAATTTCACAGTATGCCTGGTGCCTACTCCAACTTTAGGTTTAGTATGCTCTAGATCAAGAAGGAAACTTCATTGTGCATGTCGTCCTTACCAGTATCTTATTTATCTGTCATACATCCAAAAGAAATAATTGAACTGCCAGGGATGGTGGTACACACCTTGAATCCATCCCAGCACTTGAGAGGCGAAGGCAGGCATATCTCTGAGTTCCAGGCCAGCTTGGTCCACATAACAAGTTCCAGGCCAACCAGAGCTGCATTGCAAAGTGAGACCCTGTCTCAAAAAACAAAACAAAAAACTAACTTGTGCTGCATAATTATACATACAACCTTAATAATAATCTTTAGTACTGAACATTTCAGAAGAGAACTTAACTTTTATTAAATTGCTTCAAAAGGAAATCTACTTCTAATTATGGAAATTATACTTCTAAATATAGAAAACAAATGAACTCAATTCTAAAGAATAAAATAGACCAAAATTGCCAGACGCGATGGTGCACACCTTTAATCCCAGGACCCCGGAGGCAGAGGCAGGCAGATCTCTGTGAGTTCAAGGCCAGCCTGGTCTACATAGTGAGTTCCAGGACAGCTGAGGCTACAAGGAGACCCTGTCTCAAAAAGAACAAAAACAAACAAAAAAAAAAATAGACCAAAATTTTTTCTCTCTTGAAAAATGTTACTTCTTATTTGGTGAGAAATGAATTTTAAAGTATTAGAAACATCATCTTTTAGAAGTAAAAGCAGCATCTGTGGAAAGACGACTCATCACTCTGAAGTTTGACACTGAAATTGTCCCAGATTTTTTAAATGCAGTGTTATATGAAATTTTGACAAAGGTTTGAAATCAAAATAACAACTTTTGAGAGACAAAATCCTGGAGACTGGATGTGGTGGCTCAGGCCTGTAATCCCAGCACCTAGGTGACAGAGACAAGAGAATTACAAATTGCTTGTGCTGCACAGTAAGTTCTAGGCCAACCTAGGCTACATAGTGAGATACTATCAAAACAAGAAAAAAACCTTCCTAAGAAAACTCAGAAGTGCTCATTGGCATTTGATTTGCTTTTATTTCTTTAAAAAAAATTTTTATTGGTTTTTAAATTTCATACAGCATTTCCCAATCAAATCCAGATCCCCTCCCCCATCCATGCCTCCACCATTTCCCCACTGAACCCCATGTACTCTGCCAAATGTACCCAAATGTCCTTCCATGGAAATGCGTCCACTGGAGTCTAGTCAGCCCATCCAGTGGTCATATGTAAGTCATACTCTCCCTCACCCAACAATAATCAATCTCAAATAGTTCTCAGTCTCATGCCAGCACACCACCTATTTCTCATCTCCCCTTTGGGCCCTTGTTTAATTGAGCTGACACAGGTCCCGTGTTCAATGCCACCACGTTCACATGAGCAAGCCTCAGTGACCTGGAAGCCTTTACCTCCCTGTGTTCATGAACAAGCCCTGGCTCTTACAATCTTTCTGTCCCCTCTTCTGCAATGGTCCCTGAGCTGTTTTGGGAGGATCATTTGGCTTTAAAAAAAAAAAAAGGGCTTCGAGCCAAACCACATATAAACCATCACTGACAGGATTATTACACAGCCCTTACAATCACTTAGCCTTTCACAGTTTTCTGTGGGGGAGAGGTTGGTTTGGTTTTTGGTGGGTTTTGGTTTGTTTTGTTTTTTGGTTGTTTTTTTTTGCTCTGTTTGAGACAGGGTTTCCCTGTAGCCCCAGCTGACTTGGAGCCCACTGTGTAGATCAAGCTGGCCTTGAACTCATAGAGATCCGCTTGCCTCTGCCTCCCGAGTGCTGGGACTAAAGGCATGCACCACCATGCCCAGCCATTGATTTTGTTTTTTTGAAACAGGCTCTCCCTGTAACCCCAGCTGGCCTGGAACTCACTCTGCAGACCAAACTGACCTTGTTCTTACAGGATCCGCCAAGATCTACCTCCCAAGTGTTAAGGTTAAAGGTGTATCCCACCATGCCCAGCTCCAATTTTCTGCTTTAAGTTGTGAGTTATAATATAAATATTACGAGATTTTTTTGTATTAGATCATATATACAAATGTATATGAACTGTCCACCAACTGCCTACAGTTTTCCTTTCCTCTGTTGATTACCTCTTAAATTCTCCTTTACACTGCAGCCTAGCAGGAAGTCCTAGAAAGTCCCATGCCCATATTTGGTTAGTACAAAATTACCTTAGGGCTAAAGAAATGGCTCAGTGTTTAAGAGCACTGGCTGCTCTTCCAAAGGACCTGTGTTTGGTTCCCGTCATCCACATGGCAACCTATAACTGTCCTTAACTCCAGTACAAGGAGTTCTGATGCCCTTTTCTGTTCTGGCCTCCACTGGCATTGTACACACATGGTACACTTACACACATGCAGGTAAATACTCATACACATAAAATAAAAATAAATCAAGCTGGGCATGGTGGTGCACGCTTGTAGTCCCAGCACTTGGGAGGTAGAGGCAGGTGGATCTCTGTGAGTTCAAGGCCAGCCTGGTCTACATAGTGAGTTCCAGGACAGCTGGGGCTACAGGGAGACTCTGCTTCAAAGACTAAAATAATTCATTAATTAATTAATTAATTAATTTTAAATAAAAGAAAATGACCTTGAAGTCCAAGGAAATCTTAGAAATTTGTGAGCCAGGCACCAGCCTTAGAGGATGATGAGGTACAGCAGTAGGGAGGCTGCAGTCCTCTGACTTACACATTCTAGATGGGCTCTCATTCTAGGTATAAGCCCAAGCTTCCGGTTCGGTCATATTTTATTTAGGGAATTTTAAAAATGCACTCCAATCACACATGGTAGTATGCACATGTGTAATCCCAGCACTCACAAGACTAAGGAGAAAAGAGTTCTAGGCCAGCTGGGGATAGATAGTAAGACCTTGTATCAAAAAAATAATAATTAAAATTGTTGAGCCAGTGAGATGGCCCACTTTGTAAAGGTGCTTGCCACCAACATGAAGACCTGGGTTAAATCTCAAGAACCCACTCAATAGAAGGAGGAAACCTACTCCATGTATTGTCCTCCTACCTCTACACATGGGCTGTGGTATGCATGTACCCACACATATACACACACATACAGAAAATAAATGTAAAAAAAAATGTTAAAAAATTTTGAAACCATCTAGAGTTTTCTGTTTAGGTTGTGTTGGATTTGGGTATATATCCTAGTTATAATAACTGCACAACACCTATCTTCTACATACTCGAGTACTAGTTACTTTTCATATAGTCTATAATTCATAAAGTAACATCTTTGATTTTTAGCTTCTGTTAAAATGTTCATTTCAGGTTGATAAAATAACTGAGACTATAAAGGATTTGATAGAGAGCCTACAGTTGCGATTAAAAATGGGTACAGTAGTGATTACTAAGCCTTTCAAGAAATCTTTTGATTACTTCTGCAATTAGCTGTAGCACCTGTGACCTTCTGAACTGTCATAATCTGCCATTACCAATACTGATAGATATGTGTTCTTGCAGAAACTTGCCCCTGGAGTCAGCCAGTTTGCTTACACCTGTGTACAGGACCACCCCATTTGGACAAATCAGCAGTTTTGGGAGACAACCTTTTACAATGCAGTACAGGAACAGGTTCGCTGCCTTTATCTCTCAGCAAAGGAGGACAATCGTGCCCTATATCTGAAGCAAAAGGTAAGAGAAGAAAGGTGCTTGTGTGTGGCTGGGATAGACTACAAGGAAAGCTGCTTAGGCAGCTGCTCCTAAGGCAAAAGGAACTCGTGTTAAGCAGCCCTGTGGCAGGCATCTTTCTTCTATTGATTTGACATTTTTTTCATAATGACCTCTTACTACAGTTCTTTAACACTAGAATTGTTTTGTTATATTTTAATAAGAATTCCTTGGAAACTGTTGCAGCAAACTTGAATAGAAAGCACAAACCAAAAATATGTCCAGGTTTTCTATACAACTTATGTCCTTGAAGAAGTGCCAGGTTTAGCTCAGTGGTAGAGTGCTTCCCTAGCATGCACAAAGCCCCAAGTTCAATCCCTAGCACTGGAAAAAAAGAAGAGGAATTAAAGTTAATTGACTATAAAAATAAATGTTCAGGGCTGGAGAGATGGCTCAGCAGTTAAGAGCATTGACTGCTCTTACAGAAGACCCAGGTTTCATTCCTAGCATCCACATGACAGCTAACAGTCATCTGTAACTCCAGTTCAGGGGAATCTGAAGCTTTCTTCTGACATGAGTGCACTTACATCCATACAGGCAATACACTCATTCACATAAAATAAAAATAAATAAAATAAGCTTTCAAAATAAAGAAATAAATGTCCAGATTAATAGCCCTGCTCAGAAATATGTCAGCAATAAATCTAGATCTTCCTTTAGGATTAGTCTTTGTTTTTATAAATGAATAACATTTTACTTATATGTAAATAAATTAAGAAAATTACTTTTAATTTGGAAAAGTGGTTTTAAATACTGTAAATTTCTAAGATGTCATTTACTATCTGTCTGGTTTTAAACTCACATCACCTTCCACTTAACTCATTGGTAAAGTGAATAGATATCATTATTATAAGATTCTAATGTCTAATATATATGGCTTATTAAGAGTTCTTGGCACAGACTAAATAATAAGTGTTAGAAATCATCGACCTCATGAATTAAACTTAAAGCAACTTTAAAGGTTATCAGTGTTGATTCACTTGGGAGTAATTTTAAATTCAACATGTTGGGGAAATGAATCACTGCAGATTCTTCGTCATCATCTATTTTAACTTAACTTTTTGTAGGATAAATTATCCTAGGTACATAACAGAAACTACCCAGTCATACTTAAATATGTCTGTGCCTCATCATTTTAAACATATTATTGGTCTAGTGTAAGACTAGAAATTTTATCTGGGTATGGTAGCGCACACCTTTATTCCTAGCACTCAGGAGGCAGAGGCAGGCAAATCTCTGTGAGTTCAAGGCCAGCCTGGTCTACATAGCACGTTCCAGGCCAGCTGGGATTACAGGGAGACCCTGTCTCAAAAAGACCAAAAAAAAAAAACTTTAATAACAAATAGCATTAATATATATCTGATATTCCAAATTGTTATTGTAGCTCTCCATAGCTGGATAAAATGCTGTAGATATGAATTGCTGTTACACTTAACTCTGCAGGCTATTCAAACACCTCTAAAACCCCAGGCATCTACATACATACTTGTGGTTACTTGTGATATGATACTGTTAGACTATAACATTTACAAGGAAACTTAGCTTTGTGTGTGTGTGTGTGTGTGTGTGTGTGTGTGTGTGTGTGTGTGTGTGACCTTGGTCATTCTCTTTCCTCTAAAAG